CACACACACACACACACAAGAGCTCAAAGATACTGACCAAAAAAATACAACAATTCATTTCTGAATACTGCAATTCCAATGTCAACTGTAAAATAAGCACAATAAACCCTGAACCATTTCATTTTCAGCACATAAAACATATTTGAGGTGCAAATGACATGCTCATATTTTTCTGTATTTAAATGTCATCCATTTTTTCTGGACAGCCATGAGTCCACAGTAACTACATGTCTGTCTGCAGCCTCTGTGGATCTGGACATTCTGGGATCTTGTATTTTTAAAACACTAGGCTCTGGATTTTACAAGTTCATTGTATAAATGTTTTGGCTTGCTCACAAGGTCATAAAACCTTTTCTGCATGCAACAGACAATGGTAGCTGTCAGTTACAATACACAACAACAAAGTTAGAGACACAGGGGTTCTGGAGGACACCAGAAGCGGCATATGCAAGCATGAGTGCATGAACACACACACACACACACACACACACACAGAGCTAATAATAATGTAACACCTACACATCTGTATCACTACGAAAGGTTGAAGTGCAGTGCCCTATTCATAAGCACTTAAGTCAGGTAACAATTTGACAAATGGGAATTTAAAATAACTGCATTGTAACTTTTGCCATCTGACTCACTACTGACTAATCAACCACTTCCTGTTCTTTCATACACCTGCCTATAATGCTTCAGTGTTGGATTTATTATTAAAAATGTTTGTACAAAACCACATTGATGGTAAACCGCAAAACCAGGGGGGATACGTTGCTTTTTCACCGCCACAAAAACAGAAATCCATACCGTAACAGCCCTAACTACTACCTGTTTGTCCATGCATCTGCCTTTCAAACCATCCTCTGTTAGGCCTGCCTGCATAATGCATTGATGTGTCAGCCTCTCCATCACCTATCTCCATCAAAGCCAAAAATGCAAAGGATTCAAAATGTGTTTATTGTATTTTCTGCAGTTGACAAAATCTACAAAGAGCTGTTGCAAACAGTATAAAAACAGTCCATTTTATGTGACACCAGTGGCAGCAAGAGTGACAAGGGGAAAACAACCTATAGCATATTTCACCCTGGTGAAGCGTAAACAGATCCAGTGGGTGAGAATTGAATTGAAATCACCTATCTGGAGTTAGATTCCTCCATTCACACCCCAGGAAATGGAGGTGGGCAAATGTGACAACAAGCTCAAGGAGTGACCATTGGTCTCTGTCTGCAACGTGCATGTGTCTGTGTGCAAATTGTGTACGGTACAAGTACATGCGTGTTTACAGATCGCGAGAAAGCTCAGGAGTGAATATTTATTGTACAGTAGCGTGTCCATTGATCTCTGAGGGGCTTCAAGCATGGCTGATCTCCAGCAGTCACGATGGGGGTAACATGCAGGAAGCCCCAGAGCCATGACACAGATACTGGGGAGAGGGGGAGGTGGTGGTAGAGATGGTCAAAAATCAATGTTTTGGCTATTCCTGAGACGCCTGTCTTTAAAAGTCGGAGGAGGAGAGTGAGCGAGGAGAAAGAGGGGTTAATGGGTGAAGGGTGCTGGGAACTGAGAGCGGGGCAACAGGGAAGGAGTGGGAGGAGGAAGGATGAGGTGAGGGAAGTAACGGATGGATTGCCTGAGAGTGGGGGGTAGATCTTGGCCTCTCTCAACTGACACCACTTTCTTCCTACCTCCTCAGGTGGATCATTAAACATGATGGGATTAAACAGAATAAATTAGCAATACATACGTGCACAAACATGAGAGAAACGAGAAGTAAGCCTACCCCTTCATCTCTTATTTCTTCTATTCTCTGCATAAATCTATGTCTACTGGCACTTCCAAGTAGGCTAAAAATGAAAAATGCGGGCATCTTCATCTTGGCATACATCTATGCTTCTTGGGATTTCCAAAGAGGCTAAAAAGAAGCTGTTGGCAGAGGATGTCATTCCTAATGCTGCCCTAATGCTGCTGGCTGGAAGAAAAAGTTGGCGCTTAACACCAGTGTGTCAGAAACCTCGCACTGCCCAGCGCTGCACAGCAAGTTATTCAACTTTAACCATTTTGTCACTTAAATAAAAAAAAAAAGGTGAAAACCAACTAACTTACTTGAATGACATAAAGCTTTATAAAAATAGCCTCTGCAAACAACCAAAGCATATTATAAACATGAAATACACCCACAGCACAGAGGCCTACATTTGTGTTTCTATAGGATCACCTTAGCAGCTCAATAACAGTGGCCTGAATGCATGGTTTTGGCTTTAAGACAGAGAAATTCCAGTAAAACACAAAAAGACCTAACCCTAAATCCAGTGTGAATACACATTTAGATGAAAGCCTCTAGTTTATAATTCTCTATACTATGTGAATAAAACACAGACTTCGAGCCCTCATGGCCATCCAATGTTCTAAAGGCATAAAAAATTCACTTTTTTCACCTTATTCCATGAACGACTGAATGTGTGTTGTGCGTGAATAGGGGGCCTGTTTGTTAAGAGAGGCCAAATCCCATATGGTGAACAGCAGCTCCTCTGGTGAGAAGAGAGGCTGTGAAAGCCACCGGCAGCCCCTCTCCTCCATCCGTGCTCCGGAGATGAAGGGATGTAGCGCCTGCCTCTCCTTGTTCCTTCTTTCTCTCGCTCCCTTTGCCTCCTCTCCTCCCTCTTTCTTGGCCAGGGGTTAAACTGCTGCACTCTAACCTCCTTGGCAATGATTTCATTCACTCTGTTTCTCTCGCTCACTCTCTCATCTTTGAGAGAGATTTATTTCACAGTATGTAGTGGATTAGGCCCCCCTTGTATGCCCTTGGACAAAAGCATTGTTTTAGCACTAGCCTGTTCGCTGTAACGGGAGGAAGCTACCGCTACTAAGCATCCACAATACAGCCATTGTGGACACAGGGCTGGAAGGACCCTGCCTCAGAGGCCGTCTAGACTTTGAGCCTGGGCCGATTGCAGAAATAGAGGGAGAAAATCCCATCAGGCAGTGGAGTGAAAGTTAACTAAGGTAACCTGCTGTGAACCTGATGAAGATGTCAAGCCAACATATGGCAAAAAATGTCTATTGTCAGAACAAGGAGCTTTCTTCCCTCAGAGGGAGGGTATGGTGGAGGAGGAGGAGGAGACGAGGGGTGGTTAAAGAAGACTAGGGGGGTTGCACAACCTAAAGGAAGGAATAACTGTGGTGGTCATCGTTTTACTTCTGGATCAGTAGCCTTATTCTGGCCGGGAGGAGGCCCAACCCCTACACTCACAATTAAAGGAGTAAGCAGATTAACTGGCATCTTTCAAAAGCCAGGAGAAAGAAAAACACACTCACAGACGTTTAAAACACTTTTTTCCCCCCTTTTGCCTATCAAGTATCAGACTGCACACTGCAAATGGCATTACATTTCATGCTGATTTAGTGAGCAGAGGTTTTCAGCAAAGAGAAACTTCTTAAACGATGATATGGTCCTTAAGTTTACTAGTACTGATTGGTCACACTATGTTGTTACACATGGGCCCTGGGGACTGACTGAAAGAGCGGAATCCCGAGGTTATTAAAAAACCTACCTGGATTCAATTGGAACAGATTTGTTTGATATGAAATTGTAATCTAGAACTAAACTTTACTAAACTAAACTCTGATATATTATTTTTTACAAAAGGCACTAGCAAAGCATAATCACATTGGTCTAGAAATGGGTCTATATTCGCAAAGGAGAGATGCATTTTAATTCCAATGCTTGAAATCTTCAATAAAACAAAAAGAAAACAACCT